CAAGAGATCATGCATCACTCAGAAGTCGTACATCATTACAAACATTTTCCATGGGGTTTGTAAAAGGGGGACTGCCAGGACATTGTTCAAGAAGCCGAAAGATACAGAAAAAAGTTAAAAATTTAGGCAAGACCAGGATAAACATGTTCAAGAAGCCGAAAGATACAGAAAATTTAAAAATTCAGGCAAGACCTGGATAAACATTATAGAGCGTGTTTAGCTAAGCTTAAAAGTAAGTAAAAATTACTTCATAGTAAATTATGTTTCCAAACGTGTTTGCATAAGTTACTTTTTCCTTACTTTTAAGTAAGAAGAGTTACTCATATTGAAACTAATTCATACCCTACCTTATTGTCAAAATAAGCAACTTGTTTTCCAATTTTGACATAAAAAATTATTTATTTTCACTCTTACAAGTAAAATACAGAAAAAGGGGGACTGCCAGGACATTGTTCAAGGAGCTGAAAGATACAGTAAAATATAAAAATTTAGGCAAGACCTGGATTAACATTATAGAACATGTTTAGCTAACATTAAAAGTAAAATTTACTTCATAGTAAATTTTGTTTCCAAATACTTTTTCCTTACTTTAAAGTTATCAAGACTTGGGATTCCATCTTAAAAAGTCAACATTGTTACGAGGAGTAGCTCAAATCCTTATTAATTGATCTATATTTTCATCTTTATTCGATGTCCACAAGATGGTGGCTTGTTTTGATTTGATCAATCTTGAAATCCTTGTGCTCATCTTTTAATCTTAGTCGAATCGAATTATTCATTGCAACTTAATGAGTTTTAATAACAAATTAAGACTTAGGATCCTATTTCAAAAAATCAACCTTGTTAAGAAGAGTCGTTCAAATCCTTAAAAATTGATTTATATTTTCATCTTTATTCGATGTGTGATTTTATCCCTTAACATAAGTAAGAAGAGTTACTTATATTGAAACTAGCTCGCACCCTACCTTATTGTTAAAATAAGTAACTTATTTTCCAATTTTGACATAAAAAATTATATATTTTCACTCTTAAGAGCAAACATTTTAGCTTAGCCAAACATGTTCCCAAACATTTCAATTTATTCATTTATTTCCTGACAAGTCATGCAAATTTTATTTGGTGAAACCGTTGGGGAACACTGCAATTCATCAAGCAACCACGTTTTAGCAAAACTATTTGATCTTTTATATATGACCCACTGAGATCAGATGGTAACTGTTGTAGATATAGCCCTTGTTTGAGCCCCATTATTTGGCAAAGAATGCATTTTTGAATAGTAAATTGATAGAAAATGTGTGGTTAAAAAATAAAGAAAAGTTTTGAGTTTGCGTGTAATATTATTTTATTGAATAATATGTGATTGAAGAAAAGAGAGATAAAAATGTATTTTGGAAAAATGTAGATCAAACAAACTCATAGTAAACTACTAAGCACGGAACTCCTCTCAAGATGGTTTTTTCATCAAACAGAAAATAACTATGTAATTTTCATTTCTACTAATTTATGTGAACTCACAATAGAGCAAGTATTTTCTTGATTTCAGGTAGTCATCCAGAGAGAAACGAGAGCAAAATGGGATTTTTGTGTGTGTGTGTGTGTAGAGAGAGAGAGAGAGAGTACATACTGATATGGTAGGCGTTGGCTTGAAAGCTATTCTCATATTAATGATTTCTCCATTTGATATTCCACCCTGCATATTTAAAAGAAATCATGAAAACCATTCAAACTGATATGATAACAAGGCATGCTATACCTATATTCATAGTCCATAGATATCATATCTAATTCTATTATTAATAAAGTGAAGTGACTGAGCGGTTGGTTTTTGTCCTGATTTTGCCATGCTCATCTATATGGAACTCATCGCTATGCTCACTACCAATCATAAATGTACCTGATGAATTTCCATGAAAAGAAATTAGATCTGGTAGAAATGTACAAGCGAGAAGGACTAAAATACTCAATTAAATTTATTAGCTGGTAATCAGATATAGTTATAGATTACAATCCAGTAAGTTTCTCCACCTGCAAATCCACTGCCAAACTCAAATCCCATAGTTGCCGGTATTGACATAACGGCTTTTGCCAGCTCTGCTCCAAGTTTATCAAAGACTGGAGAACCAAGCCCCTAAAAAGAAACAAATTAATATTCAGAGACTTTCCTGGAAATTCATGAATTCAAAGAACGTTGCACAGCCTCAAGTCTGCTGCACATCAAGGGAGGTAGACAATTTGGTGTTAGGTTTACCCGTGGGGCATTTCTAACAATGCAAGTGACAACACCACCAACAGAATCTCCTTTAACTCGGACAGCATCAATGGCAGCAATCATTTTCTCCGCATACTCAGGATTTGGGCACCTTACGATGTTACTTTCTATCTGGAAACATTAGGGTGGTAAGAGAATATTTTCTTCTTCAGAAGGGTTAAGAGAGAGTATTTACACATTCAACAATAGAAAATGAACTTCTACCCAAAATGAGAAAAGATTGGGGGACTATCTAAAAGGACAGGAAATAGTTACAAAAGCCATAACCAGGAAAAATATATCATCCTGAAATACCAACATTAAGTCTTTTTAATCATGTGAACCCATCTCTGATCATCTAACTCGTTCCTAAGCTCCATTTCATAAGGATCTAAATTCAAGCTCAGCACCAGACGTAATAAAGTACATCCTTTTCTCATAAGAGTTGTATCTATGGCACCAAAAGCACAATAAATTAGGTCAGTAGTCAACTATGATACTCGGATTCAAGTACGAGTACGGGTATGGGGTAGGTATCTAAGTGTCGTATCTTTTATTTTCTAAAATATAGGATACAAGGACATGGCTAAAAATAGTTCAAATTTCGAATTCGGGTACTTGGATACGTCTTTCAAACTTCAATTTTTTTACTAATCCAAGATGTCATTTTAAATAGATTAAAATCAATTGTTCACCAAAAAAAAAGGAAATGAGTATTGAATAAGGGGTTAAGAAGAATAAAACAAAATTTTGGGGTTTAGTTTTCAATTGTGGGGAGTTAATTAAAGAAAGAAGAAAAAGAAGGGAAAAACTAATGTCGCCGTCTTCCTCCACCCTCTCGGCGATGGCGTTAGGTTCACAGAGAGCAGAAACAGGAAAGAAAAAAATTGAAAGAAGAAAAAGAAAGATGCGGAAATGGTGAAGTGTCTAGTTGAAACTTGGAGAATCCGACACATATTCCATACCTATGTTGTGTCATGTCGTGTCGTGTTGACACGGGTACTTCGTCCATTTCGAAGAGTCCGAGCATTAGAGGTAGTCACATTCAAACAAATTATTTCCTTTGCATGCCATTATCCATTAATTGGCCAAACCCCTGTTTGGTAGAGATTTTTCAAGAATAAATTTCGTGAAAAGCAGATATACTACTACACAAGGAAGCCAATATTATTGTGAAGTAAAAGTTTGAGTAACTTGGAGAAAAGTCAATGTGTACATATAAAGACCACAAGACTGATAGCATGCTGATGAAAATGTGATTTCACAAATATGTGTACCTGATCGGGCGTCATGGTTTCATGATCAATTAAATCTTCAGGAAGGACAAGTTTGTCTACTTGAGAAACATATGCAATAATCTGCCACAAGCATCACGAAATAGAAGAAATGTCATGACTGTGTCAATCAGTGAGTGTTACTTTTATCTTCTGCAAAAGGTATTTAACATAACAAAGAAGGCGTGTTAGATATCTCGCCACCTTTCTATACTAATTCACACCCCTCTTAGCAGAGAGAAAGATGCGCTTCCAAATCCAATTAACGAAATGCTAACCTATAACTTCTGGCTGCTTTATGTCATCATAGCAACAGTCAAATAAACCCATGTGACTAACATTTTCTTTGAAGAATAACTCGAAATGTATATAGGCATTGCCTAAAAGAGACAGCTTCAACTACGCTGAAATGCGGGTATGAGCATGTGCAACATCTTAATAATAACAGTATCAAGATTCCTTCATGCAAACGTTTAGCTTATTTTGGTTTCCTGAATATTGCTTCAAAATTTTCTTAGCAACAGCTCCGGCGGCAACTCTTCCAATGGTTTCTCTTGCTGAAGATCTACCGCCACCCTGCATTTTTAAAGAAAAAGACACCATACAACGAAGTTAAAATAAAACAAGACAACTTCCTATTGAGCTGATTGATGGACATATTTACTTTTCAAAAACACTGTGTAAAGCTGCAGATGCTCTTGTATTAATGGAACTTTAAAGGGTTTATACCTGTACTGATCTCACGCCATACTTGAAATCATAAGTTGCATCAGCATGAGAAGGCCTATAAGCTAATAACATTTCACTGTAATCCTGTGAAAATCCCAATAACATATTATTGAGGTCAGAAGGTAAAAAGTGGAAAAGGACATGCACCCAAAAGACAATTAAGCAAAAATGAAACTTTAACTCTGACTATGACTATGACTATTTCAGATACTTAACTCTTATGCCAAACTCGCAATGGACGCAAGATAAATGAGAACTAAAAGAAAAGAATTAATAGCATTCACCAAGATATGAACTGATTTTTTAGCATTTAAAATCGTCTGATGAAGGTACATATACAGAGATCCGTCAATTCAAAGACAGCGAGACATCGTGCCTGATTTGGTGAATCTATACATGATGAATTCAAAGCCCCATAAATGAAGACTCCATCAGAAACAAAATTATCAAAGCAAATCATATTGCAAAGAATAGCATTTCATTGTGTTCTGAACAACTAAAGAGCCTATGTTAGAAGCACCGAATCATCAAGAAAAATTATATGAACTAATTCCAAATCTTAAAAGATAAAAGACAGAGTTAAGGATGTGATGAATATGAAATTGACGTTCTAAATTATGTTCATTTGTTTAGTCAAACATCCAATAACTTACTAAGTTCAAACATAAAAAATAAATAAAAAACCCTTGTGTTCCACAGGTTTAACACCAGTCAACCTATTCACCGCTTCATTAGAAAGTTTCTTTTCCATTTTCCCCTTTAAAACACAAATCAAACAAGAGGAAAACTTGTGATTCTTACATCTCCTCTCTGATCTGTGTTGGGTAATTCTACCTTGATAGGAGATCCAGTAGTCAGCCCTACAGATAATATGTAATGAATCAGTCCACTTAAAGAAGATACAAACAGCACATATGTAACTGAATGAGAGCATGGTGAATATAGGAGTTTCAGAAGAAGCCAATTATAAACTAACCGTCAGCAATTCCCGATGCTATTTTGCACGTATCAGCTTCTTTTCTAGAGGAGGTGATTCGGCTTTGACCTGGCCTCCTAGATGAACAATTGGTACATTTAAGTACTACTTAACATTGTAATGCAGAGATGAATGGTAAAATGCATCAACACCACCGGAACGAAAACCTAATAGCTTAGAACAAAAATACCTTCTGTCCAGATCTACTTGCATATCAGCTTCTGAGAGCTGAAGTCTAGGAGGGCACCCATCAATTACACAGCCTACAACGCCGCCATGAGATTCTCCAAATGAGGTAACACGGAAGTAAGTCCCAAATGTGCTACCAGAAGCCTGTATCTCTGTAAACAAGAGAGATCCATTTGAATTACAACGCTCAATATACTGTTGGATGGATATTGGATGGATATGGTGTATGGAATGACAAATAAACGTCCGAATCAAACTTCTCCTAGAATTTTGGGAATGGCAATGAAACTTCTTCAAATAAAGCAAAGTCGAGGTAAGCGTTGAGCACGTAGCACTCCGTCCTTGAATTTGCCTCGCAACAGCGTCTGATTCATGGCAATCAACTCTCAAAATACGATTTCTTCTTGTGTAACGCTTCAATACACAAAAACAACAAATTAGTTTATGTACTCCATAATGCAAAACAAAAAAAACCAAAATTATATATATATATATACAGAAATGATCTAATGAGCACCGGTGCTCATCTTATCCTAAGTACCGATGAGTTGGCACATTAATTCATTGGTGGATTGGAACTCACAAAATCTTTATCCACCAATGAATTAATGTGCCAACTCATCGGTGCTTAGGATAAGATGAGCACCGGTGCTCATTAGATCATTTTTGTATA